GCCTCTTGCGTCTTGCGCTCTGGGCGCAATGGTGAAGCTACAGGGACCAGATCTGCAGAAGCTAGGCAAACAAAAGGGGGGCTGCAGAACGATGCCGCCCTTTCCGGAGAGAGGATCGGTCCGGAAGGTTAGGTTTGCAGGTGGCGGGAAGGACAGGTCCATTTGAAGCTCGACTGTGTGAAATAGAAGTGTCGCGGCAACGTGAGCCTACCACATTCTACCACTGTGTCAGTTTTGCGCAGCGGTTCCCCTGCGTAGAAATCCACACTCAGGACCCCCGAAGGGCAAGCCAGAGACAGGGAAACACGGTACACCACCTGTGAGAGGCCCACTAGCCTCTGCGCGGCTGCCGTTTGAGGATGTCACGCTGTCTTGCCCTTACGCTGGTTCGTGACTGGTGCAGGTGGCGGGCCTGACTGGGCAGCGGCGCTTCTTCTTAAGCAACGCTTGCTTGGGTCCGCCTCAGGCAGTGGCTCTGCGCCTTCCACCCAGCGCAGGAGCTTTCGCTCACCAACTCACGCAGAGTGGCAGCTGTCCAGTTCAGGCCACTCACAAGCGCCCCAGGCTGGCTTGTAGCAACCAAGCGGTCCAAATTCTCACGGCTATCCAGTTGCCAGCGCACGGGAGCTTTGCAGTGTCCAAAGCCACAAAGCAAGAGTTCAGAGGCGTGCGAGCCATACCCCGAATCATACCCCCAAGCCATACCCCGAACCACACCTGCGATTCATACCCCTTATACCAACCTCCCGGCACGGCCACGACAAAAAAACACACACCCATGTGTGTTTTGCCGGGGAGCTATGCCCCATCATTTTTTTGCAAACTTATTGCCAGCCGACTCAATATGAATGAGCCGCGTGACAAAAAGGGTCCGCTCACTGCACTGTTGCAGTGGAAATGAGTTTCTGGAGTAATAAAAGATAGGATATTAATAAGATGCATCCAACATTAACATAATTCTAAAATGTATGAAAATATTATGAGAAGATAAGAGATTACTAAGAGAAATATTCCTGAACAGTCTTCGATAGTGACCGGCGCCTACCCTCATGGTCTGATTGCCTTGGTGGCCGATCGATCATTGATTGCAGGTTGACCGTTTGCAGGCGCTGTGATGCTTCCAAGATACCTAATGCCCTTGAGGCCAATGTCTTGACGTAGTCAATTATACTTATTAGTAATGCGATTGGCATTTCACTCATGTGGTCACTATGTTCATGTAACAATGTAGTATGGTAGTAGTAGTAGTAGTAGTAGTAGCAGTAGCAGTAGCAGTAGCAGTAGCAGTAGCAGTAGTAGTAGGAGTAGTAGTAGTATTTAGTAGTAGTAGTAGTAGTAGTAGTAGTAGTAGTAGTAGTAGTAGTAGTAGTAGTAGTAGTAGTAGTAGTAATAGTAGTACTAGTAGTAGTAGAAGTAGTAGTAGGAGTAGTAGTAATAGTAATAAGTAGTAGTAGTAGTAGTAGTAGTAGTAGCAGTAGTAGTAGGAGTAGGAGTAGGAATAGGAGTAGGAGTAGGAGTAGGAGTAGGAGTAGGAGTAGGAGTAGGAGTAGTAGTAGTAGTAGTAGTAGTAGTACTAGTAGTAGTAGTAGTAGTAGTAGTAGTAGTAGTAGTAGTAGTCGTAGTAGTAGTAGTAGTAGTATTGCGTTGTTGCTCGTGTTGTGTTTGTGTCGTTTCTTGTTAGTTTGTTCCTTGCTCTTGTTT